AGCCCGGCTGATGTTACCTAGTTTGGTAATAAAATGTTTGCAAGAAGACAACCAAGCTCAGAAAGCACCAGGGGACCCATGGTCCTCCTCCTTTTCCTCCCCCCCTCCTCCTTTCCACAAACCCCACTCTCTTCTAGCCCTGGTGATGTTGCCTACTTTGGTAAAGAAATGTCTGCAAGAAGAAGAAAAAAGAAAAAAACCAAACTCGGAGAGCAACCAACGACTCCAAAGATTCTTTCTCTCACATCTGTGGATCCGTATCTTGCATTTAATATCAGACTTTTAAAAGAGAGAGAAAAATTTACCAGTACAGGGGGCATCCATGAAGGGGTGTCCCAAAAGTCAAGATTGACATCCACGACTTTGCAACTGAAGTCCTCCATGGCATGTGAAGCATGTTTTGTTTTTACATGCAACAGATGTAAAAATGTTTTGCAGGCTTTTGAATGCACCTCAGAAGCACCTTAATTCTTCTGAGATGCAGCTGTATTAATTCTTGTTCATGCACCATCCGTATGCTTAGGTTCCTTAATGGCCTAAGGCAGAGGTGGTATTCCACCGGTTCTGACCGGTTCTGGAGAACCAGTGGCAGATATTTTGAGTAGTTCGGAAAGCCGACAATTTCCACCTCTGACTGGCCCCACCAACCCCATCTCTTCTCTGCCTCCCATGGAGTCCCAGCTGATCGGCTGGGTCTCCTTTGGTTGCCCTGCACAGGAGAAGGGAGCTGGAAAGCAGGTTAGTGGGGTGGGGAGGGAAGGGGGATTTTGCCATTTATCCTTCCCCTGCCATGCCCACCAAGCCACGCCCACAGAACCAGTAGTAAAAATGTTTGAATCCCACCACTGGCTTAAGGAACTACCAATTCCTTAGGCGATATGTTATGGAATCAGAAAACCAGCCATCTTTCTGTAGAATGCGGAATAAATTCAAAAATTCTCCAAAATAAGAATAGAATAGAATAGAATAGAATATTGGAATGAAGAATAGAATAACAGAGGTGGAAGGGACCTTGGAGGTCTTCTAGTCCAACCCCCTGTTCGAGCAGGTTACCCTATCCCATTTTAGACAAATGGTTGTCCAATCTCTTCTTAAAAACGTCCAGTGTTGGAGCACCCATAAGATCTGGAGGCCTGTCATTCCACTGATTGTCTTCACTGTCAGGAAATTTCTCCTTAATTCCAGGTTAGGTTTCTCGCTGATTTGTTTCCATCCGTTGCTTCTTGCGCTACCTTCAGATGCTCTGGAGAATAGCTTGACTCCCTCTTCTTTGGGGCAGCCCCTGAGATACTGGAAGACTGCTATGACGTCACCCCTAGTCCTTTGCATTAATTAAGAGTCGCCTCTAAACTGCCAGTGAAATTGGAGTACAGCAAGAGTTAACTGAGCCTACAATAATAATACCCGACCAGTTGCTCATGAAGAAACTCTATATTTCTACGCTCTGTCAAATGAAAAACAAAATCCTTGCTCATATCACTTGTAGCACGAGAATTGCTCACAGAGGCATTGGCTGGATTTATGAAGTACAAGCTAACCTGTCGCTTCCTTATGGCATCCCCTGTGGATATTTTTCTAGGTGCAGTACTTAGCAGATACTGGAGGCAGGGATGGCTTGGTTTTAGCTCAAGAGACCAGAGGGTCTCTGGGCAAAGGAGAAGTTCCATTTTTCTCCAAGTCTAGAAAACTCTGTATTTATTTACTGCAGTTTTCCGGCTGGAGAAAGCCCCGTTGAAGGCACAGTTAGAGAGGAAGAAGTAATAGTAGTAGTAGTAGTAGTAGTAGTAGTAGTAGTAGTAGTAGGAAGAAGAAGAAGAAGAAGAAGAAGAAGAAGAAGAAGAAGAAGAAGAAGAAGAAGAAGAAGAA